AAAAAAAAAAAAAAAGAAACGCATTTATTTCTTACAAGCAGTCTTGCGCAGTCTTGCTGTGTTTCTCTTGACCAGGACGCAATACCAGAGAGCTCCACCTAACCTCTCTGGTCCAGATAAACCCTACCTAGCACACCCGTGTAGTTACCTATTGATATGCAGATAGACTAATGCCCTCCACCCCTTGGAAACTAGACCTATTGATATGCAGATGCACTAAAGTCTGGGAGAGATTCTGGAAAATTTACAATTTTACCCACAAGGGTCCTTAGTTGCAATAATAATGAAAAAATGCTGACAGTGTTCTAGTTGCTCAGATAAAAAACCGTGGTGTCATACCTGACTTGTTTTTCTCATACTCCCCTTAATTCCAGGAGCAATTCTTCTGGCTCTACCTTCGAAATATATGTAGGATCTGACCCAACTTAATCTGTTTTGCTACCATTTTGGTACAAGCCACCATCATTTCTCCTTATATGTATTATTCCAAACTCCTTAACTGGTGACCCTTAAATCTATTTTCAACACAGCCTTTCCTTACAAGATCCCACAAAATACACTCTCTTTTTTACCCTGTTCCATACTTCCTCATAGAACTTATTACTGTCTAAATATATTTATTTATGACCTCCTGCCACTAAGTCCCAGAGGGAAAGGATTTTTGTCCGTTTTGCTGTTACTCCCCAATACCTAGAACTTTTTGGGCAGAAGACGTTTAACAGCAATTTTTTGTTGAATTAATGAATACAGATATGAGGTTGACAAAACAGGTTCTCTGCCTCAAAACATGTTAAGTATACTGGGGAGATATAAAAAACACATTAATTACATGTTTTTGCAGAGCCTCCATATCTGCCCAGAGGATTTACATGGGCAGATGCGATGGAATGGTTAATCTAGATTGTGCTAATCAATATATCTGAGGCGGTTTCTTATAAATTATATTACGCAATGGTGAGATTGTGTGATAACGGTTTGAGATCATAGCTTGCCTTTTAGTCTTTCCTTGTCTCGAAAAGCTTACGGAGAAATTTTTCGTTTTACTTCATTTGCTTCCTCTCTCTCTAATCCAAAGAGGCAAGCGGCTGTGAATGGTATCGTCCAAAAGTAGTAAAAAATATTGTTTGGTCTGGGAGTCTGCGTAGTGAATAGCTCCCTGGAGCGGGCGCATGCGCATTTTAAGGCAAGGCAAGATGGCGGCCACTGTCGCGAGTCGGTGTCCCGAGGAGTTAGCGGCGGCGGTGGCTGCAGCCTCCCGCGGGTAACAGTAGTCTCTGAGCGGTGGGAATTTTGCGGCAGTGTTTTGTGAGCTGGACTGCGCCAGGAGAGTCCCCGCTTGGGAGTTAAAGGAAGGGCGGAGAGGTGAAGCCCCTCCCCCAACCTCTTCATAGTTTGACTAACTGCCCCATCCTTCCCTCCCGTTTTTTCCTCCCAGCCCGCTACACGCTGGTCTATTGCGCAGGCGCGCAAATAATCGGAGCGCCGCCTTAGCGCTGGAGTTTGAGAGCTCCTGCGCGCGTTTACCGTTCTTCTTCCTTGATTGGTTAGATTGCCCCGCCATCACGCTTCCCTCTGCTTTCTAGGTTGAGAAGGAAAGCGGTGGGGCGGGGCCAACCGGCGCGTGCGCAATACTGTTGCTGCTCGTTTGCTGCTGTTGCGTTCCACAAAAAAATCCCGACTGGATAGCCTTGGGCCTTTTCTGTGCTAGAGGATCTGGAGAGAGAGAGAGATTGATTTCTGCAGCTGAAGGGGCAGTCGGGTATTATTAAATTTAAGATATTAACGCCCACTCCTTCAGGAGTGGGACGCTAGGAGTGGGGAGGGGCCTTAGCTTTGAGAGCTGAAGAATATAAAACCATTAATTTCGGGGCCAGGCGTTTAGAAAGGCTTTGCAGGATCTGCATAATTTCGTCTGTGATTACTGACTGGTTTAAACACAACCCCTTGAACAATTCTGATAAACCTTTGAAACCCGCAGCCCCTCCTTGCAGCGTGTAGGAGTCGCCAGCGTGCCCAGTAGCTGGTCCTCCTGTCCTACCTCCAGAAGAGCCAAGCGCGTGCACCATCCCCAACCCCTGGCCTCCCTCCCCAACTACGGCTTTCACGCACTCGCAGTGATTATTTTTGCCCGCTCCCGCCGCGGCCGCCGCGGCCGCCAGAGGAGCAGCAGCGCTTGTGCAAACCGGGAAGATGGCGGCCGGCGGCGGCGGAGGCAGCAGTAAGGCCTCCTCCTCGTCGGCCTCTTCGGCTGGGGCTCTGGAGTCCTCGTTGGATCGAAAATTCCAGTCGGTAACCAACACCATGGAATCTATTCAAGGCCTGTCGTCTTGGTGTATAGAGAACAAGAAACACCACACTACTATCGTCTACCATTGGATGAAGTGGCTCCGGAGATGTGAGTGTTGGGGATGACTAGGGAAGGGAAGACTGGGGAAATGGAAGGAAATAAAACGCTTGGGGTTTTCGCCCGGAGCCGCAGCATTCGGTTGCGGTTGTTCACACGAAAGCTTTGATCCGAGTGTCTCCAAACCCAGACTTCTTTCCTAGCTAGGGTTGTCCTGAACTGCAGGCTGGAGGTTAATTATTTCTTGGATTTTTTTAGCCACTGACTTGGTGTGACCTTGGGCCATTGGGCCCAATCTATAGTGATTTGCGTATTATTTCATTTCAAAGCCTTGAAAGGTGCTGTTTTTACTGAACCTCACGGAAATTGTCGTGTCCGTTTATTTTTTATAGGCCTTGACGTGTTAATGGTTTCTGGTTTTCCTGATGATAGACAAGCAATAGTAAATAAATACACCTACTTCTCTGGAATATGTTGGACCTCTCCATTTTCCACTGACCTAAAACTTGTGATGTGTAATAAGAAGGGCCTTGCCTACGTGAATGTTAGTAAGAAGTAACATGAACTCCACAGAGCTGAGGCGACCACCTGGCAGGTTTCCTTGTACCTTTGTTTGCTGGATTAAAATACAGGCTTCTTGTTACTGACCGGAAACAACTGTAGTCAGTATCATCACTAATACCTTAAAATGTAAAACATTTGACTACTTTTACTCGAAACGCCTTTTTAAAGAATTGAGTTTGGTTACGTAGGTCATCAAAACGGGAAATCAAGAAATAGTACTTTTTTCCTCCCAGTTTATTGTTTTTTTGTTTCCTTGGGGAGTTTTTCCGCTTTTCTGCAGTACTACAGAAAAGAGGTCTATTAAACTGTCAGGAAGTGGATGGTTTGCAAAAGATCTCAGATCTTTTAGGAGGAAGTGTGAAGAAGTCACTGTAGCTTCCTTCTGAGAATAGAGGGTTAACCCTAAATCCATATATATCTATTTGAATTTTAGGTCTTTTGTTGCTTCCTGTCTATGGCATGTTATCAGTGAGACTTATCATCCGGTTCTTCTTACTCCAATTGTGCTATTGTCCTGTAGTGTTTTGATTTGTGTTTACTTTTTAGGGAACAGATGAATAAAACTTGAAAAAATCATAGGCTCCAGGCTTCAAACCATTTATGTATAAAATTGTTGGGAGAGAGATTTTGTGGCCCTTTGAATAGTATGGGTTGAGAACCAAGATGGGGATTACCTATATTCACCATTAGCAGATCAAAGTGACTTACTTTACCAGAAGTGAAATTAGAATGTACAATATCAAATATGATAACTTGTCATCAAAGATTCTCACATATTAAGTATCTGCTAAGTGGCCAGCCCTTTATTGTCATTTACAATGTATCTATCCTGTTATACCTCAAATTAGCCCTATGAAGTAGTTTTTTATCACTGATTTGGAGATGGGGAAACTAAGGCTCAGAAATGTTAAGCTGCTTATGGTCACACAGTACAATAAAGGAGTTAGGATTTGATTTCGCCTTATCAGATGACAGTGGTCACATTTGACTAATAATGTTTTCAAGATTATTTAACATACTTGGGACACCATTGGTAACAGGTGGTGCTCATGTGAACCTGAGGACGTGTTCCCTTTAGACCTATTCTTTCTGTTTTAAAACATTTTCACTAAATTATGCAAAGATTTAACATTTCTTACCTTTGGGAATTTGGGAACCATAATTGTATGGTTACATCATTTACAAGAAGAAGTTGGTTCCATCTCTTCCATGTGGGATTACAAATGGCAATTACAGTATATTTTTCTAGGCAAATAATAATGAGATATATTGGAGATAGAATTTTTGTGTCTCTATTGTTGATATTGCGCCTGAGCTTATTTCCCTTGTTAATATTGAGGGTGGAAAAATTATTGCTTTAGGAAGACAATACTTCTAGTATATTATATATAGCTTATATAGTTAATTGCTTTTAGCTTTCTAAAAACCTGATTTTTTTCCCTAGTGGAGCTTAACTTTCTAAAATGGTTAAGGTTCATTTGTAGTCATTTTGTATTTACATTGAATGAATATCATGTCTCTTACGGTAAATAAAATATGTTGAGAAAGAGATTCAGGAGAGTCATGAAGGGCACAGTGAAAATAGTTTATGCATTGGGTCTCGTTCCCATTTAATTTCATATCCTTTACAGTTAGAATTATTTGAGATTGGTTTCTAAGTCAGCTTTAGGCGATTGTGAAGTAGGCAGGTTTGGCATTCTCAGCCTTTCTGTCCATTTTCCTGATACCACTTTTATTTCTCTTTTTTCTTCTGACATCTGTTATTTAGTAATTTATATTTAGACCTCAGTGTGAATTTAAGTAACTGTGTTAGCTCTTCCAGAGATACTTTCATTTTATCCTTTCTTTAAGTGTGAAATAGACTTTTGTTCACTCTCAAGGAAATAATTCAGAGAAGTTTGTAGGCCTCCATGGATGGGTTCCACCTTAGTCCATGGATGAGTCCTACTGACTATTCAGGCTTCTTTTAATTTATTTGAAGCATTCATTACCATCATTTTTTAAAAGTGATCTTTCTGTACTGTGAAGAGATGTCATTCCTTTGCTTTAAAAACCCTCTAGTGGTATCCCATTGGAACAGGGTTAGGAACTAAACTTTTTTTGCTATCGATTACAAGTTCCTACACCATTTGCCCTGCCTACTGCCTCTCAGGCTGCTTCCAATCCAGTCCTCTCATCATCTAGATCCAAGTTCAAATATTGCCTTCTGAGAAAGGCCTTCCCTAAATGATCTTATTTCAAGTAATCCCTTCAATTGGGTTCTATCACATCACTTTATTTTCAGTATATGAAATTACCTTGTTTGAATGTTTATTATCCCTATCTACTCCCATCAGATGACAGGGCTGTGTCTTTGTTTCTGTATCCCTAAGCAACTAGAACAGTGTTGGGCACACAGTAAGCAATCAGTAAATCTTTGCCAAAATAATTTCTTGAAAAAGTTAATCAAGAACTTCAAGTTTCAGTGAAAAAAACGATAGGTATGGTTTTTTTGGCAGGCTCAAGATACACCTCTTATATGGACTCGATGTGCAGTTTGACCAAATTATCATTTCTGTATTTCATTTGTCCCTGCCATTTTTTATGGGGGTTACTATGGAACAGCAGAAAAAATGCAGACTTTAGAATTAGACCTAGGTTCAGAACTTCCATTTTTTAATACCGGGGTAACTCTATGCAAAATACTTAAATTATGGGCCTCCGTTTCTCATCTATAAGTAGAGATAATTATCTCAGCATTGTCTAGATTTAAGAAGATAATACATGTATTTTAACATAGATCCTAGCATAAAGAAAACATTGGAATTATATATTATGATCACAGTGATGATGCAGATAAAGGTATTCTTAAGATCCTGAGTATTCAAAATACAACAGAATTTTGTTTTGGATACAGTGCCGGAAATTACATTTCCAGTCAGGTAGATGAATTGGACCAGCCTCTCTCTAGTGCATTACATAGTAGGACATAGAAGAGCTAGTAGGACAAAGTGGAAAATATGTGTTCATTATATCTCCATGTTGTCTTATTTCTACCATTGAATGGGTTGGTCTGTTTTCAAAGGTGTTATTGAGAACTTAGGTGAATTTTTTAAGAAAACTGGGATAAGGGAAAGTAGAATCATTTGTAGAGCAGAAAATCTGTTAAGATTTCCCTTCAGCAAAACAAATCCTACCATTGCAACAACATGGATGGAGCTAGAGGGTATGATGCTCAGTGAAATAAGCCAGGTGAAGAAAGACAAGTACCAAATGATTACACTCATATGTGGAGCATAAGAACAAAGAAAAAACTGAAGGAGCAAAACAGCAGCAGACTCACAGACCCCAAGAATGGACTAACAGTTACCAAAGAGAAAGGGACTGGGAGGTATGGGTGGGGAGGGAGGGATACCGGGGGGGAAGGAGAAAGGGGGCATTATGATTAGCATGTATAATGGGGGAGGGCATGAGGAGGGCTGTACAACACAGAGAAGGCAAGTAGAGACTCTAGCATCTTACACTGATGGACAGAGACTATAATGGGGTATGTGGGGGGGACTTGGTGATGGGGGGAGTCGAGTAAGCATAATGTTCCTCATGTAATTGTAGATTAATGATACCAAAAAAAAGATTTCCCTTCAGCTATTTTTCGTACTACCTTTAAATATATATTAGATTAGGAAAGTAATGACACCTCTCCTCCTTTCAACTGATCACCCTACCAAAGTAGTTATCAACTTAATGGCCAGTTTTTTTTCTTGTAGCCCCTTTACTTTCCCCTGCTTCACCTCCTTGGAAGCAAATCTCAGCATGATCTGGTATTTTTTCCACAAGAGAGACTAGCAAAGATTCTCTTCATACAGAATTAAGTTGTTGCAGAAAGTCTGCAAAGTGCAGTTGCCATTTTTGGCCTATGGAATGGTTTCTCAGTTTGGGTCTCGGAATCCTTAGATAGACCATGAAGATGGCAGTAATTTTATAGCTAACTTTTATCAAGTGCCTGCTATGTGCCAGACACTCTTCCAGACATTTTATACGTATTAATTAATTCAGTCCTTACAAATCTTAGCAGTAGGTATTATGATCCCCACTTAACAAATGAGAAAACAAGCACTAAGAGGTTGAGTAACTTGTCAGTGGTTACAGAGCTAATAGGTGGTGGAGCCAGGATTCAACCCAGGCATTCTTGACCTAAAAGGCTCTTTACTGTATGCTATAACCACTGTAGTACACAGCTGTTCCTATTCATAAAATATTTTCTACCATGTAGAGAACCTTTGATAACTTGCTTATTAATTCATAATTAATCCAGGTAGATTAACTAGAATGTTGAGATTTTAAATCTGTGGGATTGTTTTTTGTTCTGGTTTTTGCTTTCTGTGGCAAAACATTATCTTGTGTGGATTTGAAGTTCTAGTAGGCCTTTATGTTCTTGGTTAGTAAAAAATGGGAAAATAAGTTGAACATGTTATTTAAGCTAGATAAAAATCTCTAAATGTGATGTG